GGTTTCGGCAGTTGTCAGAATTCGGTCTAAAATTTCGGTTCTGTACATAGCAAACCATTCCATGCTTTGACTATTGCCACTAATACCTTCCCATTTTCCGTAAACAATACCAGTAGTCAATAAAAAAGATGCCAGTTGGATAATATCGACATTATTCGGGGATACACTTCAGGGGTCACACACATTTCTAATCTATCTGCAATTTCTTCACCTTCGCCTGTCAATATTAAAGAAAACAATACCAAATTAAGTTATAATTAACACAAAGAGTAATTTTTGCAAAGTGTAATCTTGCATCTATTAATTTGACTTGCTAATCAGATAGTGTAATTTAAATATCTCTTTAGCCTTCTGAGGTGTGACCAAATTATACCTCACAATTAACGTTGTGGTTTTTCTACAATTCAAATATTACGCTTGATCAACTCTCCGTTTTTATTTATTGTGAAATTTTGGAGATTACGAAAAAAAACTAAAACGTAATCGGTTCCACTTTTACGTACAGAACATGAAGTTCTATCTCAATCTACATTTAACTGAAGCATATCGTGGAAAATGATCAGAAAAACTTGATTAAGTAACACAAATTTTAATTGTTCGCATATATACACATAACAAAAAGCTACCACATTTTTCTCACCATTGAACTACAATTCAAAACTCAAACATTACATAAATACCTTAAGCAACCAATCTCACATTATTCGATATTAAAAAAACTATAACAACATTTACAATGGGATTTTCATTTTTTACACGCAATTGTATGCGTGTTGCTACAGTTCCGACAGCACCGGCGTTAATTGTGTAGGGCATTTCCGAACAAATTGGTGAAAGCAGCAAATATTGTAATGCGCTAAAACGATTGATTTTAATTAGTTTTAAACAAGAACGGATACGGTTCGCAATATTAAGCATTTTGACACAATTTCAACTTTCTTATAAAATTATTTTGTGATCACGCAGTGTTTCCTTTTTTTTTAATTACACTTACCTTAATTAATAAATCTTGTATAATGCCTTCAGACGCCAATTTATATTATAGTATTACTTTCTTTTCGGTTGAAATTCTTTCACGCCTTTCGTATGTTTAGAGTTTAGAATACGGATCACTCAAGCAGGTGATCTAGAACTTTTTTCATGTAAATGGTAATAAAGTCCTCTTTTTAACGAAAAGTTGAACAGAAAATACAGTAAAATCAATAAATTCGCACCACTACCCATACCACAGTAAACTGTTCAAGACTCCCTTTTATTAGAGCTTATCTGCGAACAGTCATAACCTGATTAGGCAGATAATTGAGATTTTTTTAATTAGATATAAGACGACAAATTTTTTTAATTTCATAAGCTCTTTAGGTGCTGTGGAATGTTCCGTTTCTCGAATTCTGCATGGTTCATAAGGTTCACTAGATTATTAAGATTCCTTGAGTTTTTTTTCCGTTTCTTCGAATTAGTTCTACAGATTCTTCAGATTTAGACTTCACAGAATGAGATTTTGTTTCTTCGGATCTTCTCCATTCTCCAAATTCTTCGGATGTTGCGTGTCCGGAATTGTTCAGTTTCTTTAGTGTTTCAATTTCTTCCGATTCTTCAAATTCTTCATATTCATAACACTTTAGATTCTTTCGTTTCTTCGCATTCTTTCCACTTTTCAGATCCAGAACGTTTTTAAAAATTTCATCTCGTTCAACGGAGTAGTTCGGTGTTCATCTAGAACAGATTTAACGCTACATTTTTTCGTTTGAGCCTTTAAACGAATTCTGATGCCGCATTACCACAAGTGGTCCGCCCCAGTAAGCGCTACATTTGGTCCTTCGAGCCGGTGACCTTTTACCGTTGTGGGATCGATGGTCCAACGGGCCGCGCACTTTCGCTCAAACCGTGCGTAAATTTTAAAAAATCATCGCCTATCGCTACCCCCGATTGAATCTTTTAAGGTTTTCAAAAAACGCACGACGTATTCTTTGCTGTACATGAGATAAAAAAATGTTGAAATAGTTTATCTTACTCGAAAAAGTTCTCTTAATGTCTGTAGCGTTTGAGCGTCGTGCCGTTCCGCGTTCCGTTCGGTACCTCGGCCGTCCCAAAACCCCATTTCCTATTTTTGGCCCAAGGAAATCCGTGTCACCCCCGAAATCCACATTTTTACTCGAAAGTTTCCTCCGTACCGCACGATCCGTAGTGACCGCGGATGCGACTGATCACATTTAATGTTAAGTTTTTTGTATCAAGCTTCTTGCTGACTTTCAGTGGAAGGAAGAAATTACGAAAGAGGAAATTAGTTCTGACTAGGCGATAAATGAAATTATTGTTACCGATAGGTCTGTTTAGTCCGATAATCATCGATAATTATCTATAACTTTAGATAATTATCGATAACTTTCGATAATAATCGACAACTATCGATAATAATCGATAAATCGTAACGATAATTTTCGATAATTATCGATAACGTTTGATAATTTTCGATAACTTTTTATAATTGTCGATAACTTATGAAAATAATCAATAATGATTGTTAGCTGTCGATAATAATCGATTATTATTAACACTTGTCGAACATTGACCATCTCTGATAATTATCGATTAATTGATGAGTAGCGGTAATTATCAAGAGAAAACTATCGATACTTTTTCATAAATCTTATCGATATAAATATATTCTATTGCGAGAGATAATAAATAAAAACAGGATCTTTTGAAAGATATTAAAAGAACTGTAGGTAGGTATGCTGAAGTTTTCGAAATCAAAGGTGATCAAGTGGACGATAATCCTCAAAAATTAGTAGACAAGTAGGTTGTGATTTGTGATAATGGCAACTCGACAATGCTCTTACTTGTCGCTTTTGTTTCATGTAAACTGGTACATATAAACTTGGAAATTAACTTCTCAAGTTTATCTCGTTAAAAATTCTCTCGATAATTATCTTCTTAGTTTAGTTGTGTGATTAATTGATAGATTAACGGTAATTATACATTTATCGACCAATCCTTTAAACTTTTCGATAAATTATCGATTAGTCGACCATTTTCTTTAATTTATCTACTATGTATTGATAAGTTATCGGTTAATCGTTTTTTGCAAAGCGCTACTTTTAAATGATTACATATCGATTAATGGATAATTATCGGAATTATGGATTAATCGATAATTTTTTTAATTTATCGGCCGCCGATTAATCGATAATTATCGATAAGTTATCGATTAATCGTTTTTTTGCACAGCACTAGTTCTGACCCTGAAAACTAGAACAGTGAACCAAAAATGAACTGCACCGCGCCGCTATTTGTGCGCCGATATAATCTTTCTCAATTTTTCACTCACCAGCGGATTGCGCAATTTTGTGTAATCACGTGGGAATTTTAAAATCTGAGACGCACTCATTTACGAGATCCAGGATTTTCCATCAAATTCGTCGACAACCCTTTTGGGATTTACAAAGCGGACAAGCGAGTAGTTCTAGTTGGACGAACCCGAATCATCTCCGTTAGCTTACTTTAAAAACTAAGGTAACCATACCATAGAAAATAAACCCAATGTCATAATTCGGGCGTGAAACCCATAACCATTTCGGCTCAATGGAGAACTGTTCGCCGTGTAAGACGAAACTGTCATTGGCAATAATAATTAATAGTGTAAGGTGCCTAACACGAAATAAATTCGTTGAATATTAAGTCAAAGTTCATCATTATTATGATGGCTCTTCTCCACGACTCTCTTCTCCCTACTTTAGGTCATCAACCTTCTTCTTCTTTTTTTCCTTTCTCCCTGAATCTTTCCCTCGATTACTTCATTCAACAAACAATTCTTTCTTAGTATATGCGTTTTAAAAGAACAATATTGAGCGACATTGACTATCGAGAAAAATCTAACACGGTAATCTAAATCCAGCTCCAGTTACCCAATAAAAACTAAAGATTTTGTTCATGAGTTTACGCAATTAAAAACATCCGCTTAGATCACTGCTGTGTATTAAAAATTTTCCATTATTTCGGTCATCGTATTATGAATTTGCAAACAGAAGAGACGTCCTTCTGTTACGATCCAGTAATTAAAGTGTGCAATTTTTTCGATTTCTAAATTACGTGAAATAGGGGGTATTCCAAGCTGTTTAATATTGAGCTGCTCCAAGGGTAATTTTTAATTTTTGCTATTTGTATTCAGTACGGACCGCTTTGCTTTAATGATTTTGATCAGAAAATAATAAGTAGAAACATCCTTAAAGATTCGGTCCAATGATTTTTGGGAACGTGTCTGTTTTGTTGTGAAAAAAATGTTGTATTGTAACCTATATTCGTGCACGAACTCTGTTAGAAGAGGTAAAAAAAGTTTCCATGTTCAATATTAAGTGCCGAGTGTCTTCTAATTGAGTTAAATTGAGTAAAACAGAACGTATATGGTAGACATTTTAGACATTGGATATATCAGTGAACATGAAATTGACTATTTTTAAAGAGATGTGGAGGAAGGTGGAATTTGATTGGTTTAAATTTCAATTTACGTCGATATTTTTCATTTTGTGGATTTATTTGCTAAGAAAGGCAAAGAGCATTCCATTTATACTAGGGGAATTGGATCAAAAAATAGTGAGACACGAATTTGAACCACCTTGTACTAAATACCATAAACTGTTTGAATTTTGTGGTAGCATCTTTTCGAATGATATTTGCGATTGTAGTAAAACCCAAATAATCCAAGGGTGGGTTCATTATTCATTATTAATGAATTATTTTGATGTTCGTTTGCTGTATAGAATTAAGCGTAAGCTGACCTTCGTAGTTTTTCAATTATAATGTGAGCGTCGTGACCAATACTCACTTTTTATTGTGTTTATCGCATGGTCATAATTTAGATTGGGAAGTAGTAGGATTTTTTTTAAATTTTCCAGTCCATTTATATTTATGGAATGTTTTGATGATTGTAAACTTGGATTAATCGCGTTTATTGACTATAAAAAAATTACAGTTAGACAGTGACCACACGTTAACGGTAAAATACTATTCTTACTATCATGGTCATCTTACGCTGTATGCCCTACAGACCTAATACCAAAGATGTATACACGATTTTGAGTAAATGCTAATAAAAACATTTGTATCTCGTTGTCCGTTATTGTATAAAAATGATCATGTTTTAAATCACTAACCCATCAAGGTCTATGATTATTATGTTAGTAAAAGTCTTCAAGAGATTGTTAATATAGATGGGCGAGTTCAAAAGCACGCATTCTTTACGCTCCAGTTGCCTAAGGTAAATCTCCATAACACACGACGTTTATTAATTTTAATTGTTTGTATAAATTAATTGTATCACGTGTATGGTGACAGTCACGTTTGACCACATTCCATTTCTGTTTGCAGCATCCCGGCTGGATTTCCCGATTCACGAACTTGCCTTTTCAACCAGAAACTTCAAATGTTGAATTGCTGCATCGAGCGAAAGCGCTCGCGAGAGATGCGCGAAACTGAGCCAAGTGTTAGCAAATACGTTGACGCAAACTCGTCCACCGACGACGAGGAGTTTTACGATTGCACTTCCGATAAGGTCGAGGAGGAGGATACGAGGAGGAAAACGAAGCATGCCCTATGGAATCAACCGGTGGGTCGGCTGGGGAAGTTTGAGAATTTGAAACTGATAAAGTTGGGCGATCCCTTGTATATTCCCATAACGCAAGATCCCGTTCCAAAAACCGAGGATCAACTGCAAGAGGACACCGATATCCTTCTGCAGCTAGGATCGGACGCCCAAGGGTCGGAATTGCGCGCGAAAATGATGAGCGCCTCTTTGCTGTCGGATATGGAATCATTTAAGGCGGCGAATCCAGGTTCTATCTTGGAGGACTTCATTCGTTGGTACTCACCGCGCGACTGGATTGAGAAAGATGGGTTAGATCAATGGGGGCAGAAAATGGGCCATTTAAGCGCGCGCATGTTAATAGCCGATAACCCTTGGGTGCAAATGTGGCAATCGGCAAAACCTGTACCGGCCAACCGCCAAAAACGCTTATTCGACGACACGCGCGAGGCCGAGAAAGTTCTACACTTCCTAGACTCACGCACTTTCGCCCAAATTATCGAGATGCTATTTCCCATCTTAGCGCACGCCGCCATCTGCCGGCTGTACGACGAATGCGAACAAGTATCTCCCGTCCTGCCGTCCGCTCACAAATCCCTGCAGCAAGCAATACGTCTAGTTCAGAAGATCTCGCGCGATGATCAAATAACCGAACGTTTATGTGGCGCTCTAATTCAACAGATAGCGGCACTCGAACTTGCCATATCGCAAGCAAATTCATTACTTTACAAATTTAACCCCGCGGGAGGCTGCGACGAAACCGTTTATGTATTCACCGAGAAGCTATTGAACGGTTGCGAAGTCGAAATTGAAGACGCTAGCAAATCGAATATTGGCAGTAGGTTAACTTCGATGTTCACAGAGGCCCAGAGGCTCGCCAATATGATACTAACCGAACATAGTGGCGGTTCAGCCGAAAATAACTCAACAGGAAACATTATTTTCCCCCAAGCTAACGAACGCGAATTCGTAATGAGAGTTGCGGCAGTTCGACCCGCATCCTATTCCAAAAAATCTCCGCAATTTTTAAGAGCGATTCTATCAAAGAGCGAATTTAGATTGGCTGGTGCTTTTTCTGAGGATATTGTTTATTTCTAATTTTGTTTGTTTTTGATACTTTTATAAGATTGTTATTTACATTTTGAAGTTTAATTTCAACTGCGGCGCTTTTTAATGTACAACTTGTTGCTTTACATCGATTTCCACATAATAAAGTTGGCAATTTTAGTCTGTTTCCCCTTAAACTTGGACTGGAAATTTAATGTGTCTTTGGGTATCGGGGGATCTCTTATCTCTGCGGGTAAATAAACTCTTACAAGCAACCCTTCCTAGAGGCATAGCAATTTCAGGCAGCTGTTGACTTCAATCTTTATTAAATTAATGAGAACATCGAACGACCAAACAATTTTCTGTGGAAATAAAGGGTAGTTTTGTCAATTTAAATATATATGTAGAAAAGTGTAGTGAAATACACTCCAAAGTTCGGTCCCGCAAATTGAGCCCTATATAATACAATTGAAAATGCAAAGCTGCAGTCTCCATTTTCCAATTTGTGAGTGACACGCCACAACCAGAAAAAGAAACACAATGAGGTTCGATGTATTTCTGCGTGGGTAAAAAATAATGATTTTAATTTAAATATGTATACATAAAGGTATCGATTCGCATTTTACGGAACGACAACGTCACATCACGGACCTCGGCAACGTCACGTAAATCTTGCTGCCAATTTACACTTTACGTCAATAGTTTCTTGGGATGGTTGCAATTGGATTTTTTATTCTGCACCATCTGTTCTTATCGTGCTCGGATTATATCATTAGCGTCACGTCAAAGAAATGTTTGAAACTTATCTCGATGGTTCGTGACGTTGACGGTGCGTTCCGTTACGTCTATATGTGGATGTCATCATAAGAAATCTATAATACAATATTTTGACGTGCCGTTGCCGGTCCGTGTAGTGACGTTGACGTTCCGTAAAATGTGAATCGACCTTTATAGGTCTCTTGTGATAACATTCACATAGGGACGTAACGGAACGCACCGTCAACGTCACGAACCGTCGTATAGTGTAAATACAATATTTTGACGTGACGTTGCCGGTCGGTGACTGACGTTTGACGTTCCGTAAAATGCGAATCGACCTTAAATGACTAATGACAATCAGCCCTGTGATGTATCAGAAACGTCAAACTTAACGTGCAGGTTATCTGCCGAAAAACGTTATTTTGCGACATTTTTGGCAGACAACCTGCCGATAGTGATACATCACAGGGTTGTTTGTTATCATTGCGAGTTTTCTTTAGGGCGATTATTCCGGTTTTTTTGTTGTTGAGGGAATTTATATTGGGCGAGTTACTTAATTTATATATAAATTACGAAGATTTCTCGATTCTAGACTTATTTTGAGAGCGTGTCTTCCTGAGAGGAATATTTAAGAGGCAAATTCACCTGCAGGCGGACTGAATTTTGCCAAGAAAACAGAACGCAATTTTTGTATATTAGCTTTCCTGAACGTGAATCTTTGACCAGATAGGTACTATTCCAACCTATTTATCACTCTTCAACTAGTGGATGTTTAATGAAGATTTCTTACTAAGATCATGATCGCGCGCATTTATTTCAAAACGGAAGGCAAACCGAAATTGGCAGAAATGTTTAGAAGATAAATAGAGTAGTGGAATAAATTTCTCATAAAAGACTCTGTGGCGGCATGTGTGTCTTACCCGTTTACGTGTACATACAATAGGTATTGCAGACGTCGACACGGAAATAGACCCACTTATTTCATTAATTATTATTCACAAACTGTTGAGTTCATATGCCACATTGAGCTTTTTTGTGGGAATTTGAGCCTTTACAATTTATTTTCCATACATTTCTCGTATCTGTCTAAATAGATGCACCAAGAGGTAAGAAAGCTCAATAAGATTCCCCTAGTGAAAGTGTGGTAGACCGATCCCAGGCTTTCTGTCTTTTCTCCTTTGCGTCAACCACGATATTCGCACACCTCTCGTTATTTTACACCATAGTTAAATCATTGAATAAATAATTAATATTCAATGGTTAAAAATAAAAAATACATAAATTACGGTCAGCCGATCATCTAAGGCTTGAATTCTGTTTAGAGAAATTTGCTATTAGCGCATACAGCCTTGAACCTTCTCTTATATATATGCCTTGAACACTCTTTTTGACTGCGTGTCGCATCTGGAATGGATCGTACTTTTCCCCTGTGCATCCTGTGGCGACATATCCCTCGGTTAGACAACACACCTTTCCGTTCTGCACAAATCCGAAGAACGGGGAATTTTCGCAACGAAGCTTGGCAGAAAAGTTTACTCACAAGTTCCAGTGGTGGGGTAGCGTGCTGGTATGTCGGTCTCTCAATGTTATTTTGTTTGTTCCGTTTTAAACAGTGCAATTACACGTAGTAATAATTTTATTCTTTCTCGTACTAACCCCCAACCTTTGAATTTCGTGCCACAATTTGTTATTATTTACAGTATGATTTTTATTTGTTGCAGAATGCCGTGTCCCAAGCTTTTCTTTTGAGCATACTGATCCTGAGTTTTTATGTACAGGTCTTTATAGTATGTTGTTACAGTCAAAGTAATTAAATGGCGATTATTCATGATGACTGGTCAATGTGAGTAATTAGGAAAAAGGAAACTCTTCAAACAACCCTTGACAATATGATATTTTTGAATTCTATTATTATATGAATTCTAGATCTTATACTAAGATATATTCAAAAAATCATTCCGGGGTTGTTTGAATAGTTTTTCTTTCCTTAGCTATTCACATTGACCAGTCATTGTGAATCATCGGCAATGAACTACTTTCAATGTAACATATTCATATAGAAGTATATATTATCTGTATGATGTTTCCCTGTCTGTATGATGTTTCCCTGTATGTTGAAGTAATCGTATCCTGAGTGGAGGGAGTACCTATTCGTTAGTTCCGATTCATTGCTGAATAAGTTGCTTTCATATCTCGTGCAACTGCAGCTTATCAATGTGAGGGGGGGAGGGGGTCTAAATAACGTTTCTTCTCTTTAGTATGCTGTTCTGTTTACTGTTTAGAGATCATCGCTTTTTTCAGGAATAATACTTACTGCTTGGGTTTTCACCTGAACTTTTCATGTCCATTAATGGTAAGCGATGCTGGAGTACAGCCTTGCCCTTTTAATTGTACTAAATTGAGTTCTCTTGCTTTCTCGTTACATTTATGCTGTCTCTTGTGTTGATTGTCATAGATCATAGAATTATTTAGTGTATTTGTGTGGGTTACGCCAGGTTTTTTGGCTAAGGAAGGTTTTATTTCTGGCGGCGCCACCTTGTTGCGGGGTGCGTAATATATTTTATTTGTTTTCGCCTTTTCTTACGAACAAACACTTTTCGTTTCATTCAAAAGAAGATTTGCCAGTATAATATACGACTTAAAAGTTCTATTCACCATCTTTGAATATACAGGGTGCTCATTATGTATGGAATATCGTGTAGATCTCGATAAACGTCGAATGTATACAACATTTTTCTATATGAAAGTTGTTTACCATTTTGTTTCCCATAATAAGGGAGCATCCTGTTGTTTTTATTTCAGAAAATGAGAAAACAAATGAGTAACGAACACAATTGAATTTTTTTAAATGGCTGTGCACGTGTTCATTAGGCTCAAGTGATTTTTTTTCTCTTTTCGATAATGCATGTTAGTAGGAACATTATAATTTGATCAATATCATTAATTTAGATATCCTACATCAAAATAAAACAACTGACCGTGTACATTTCTTATTAAACCTTGAAGACAACACGAAATTAGCAGTAAAATGGCTTTCATCGCAATGAATGTTCAAAATGTTCACTATTAAGTGCAAGGCAGTAGCATAAAAATTAATTTTTTCTACACGGGTGTTAACGTGGCACGTCATTGAAAAGAGAAAAAAATCTATATCAAGTGAGCCTAATAACAGTGTGCTTTGCTATTTAAAAAAATTGAATTGTTTTTCAATATTCATTTGTTTTCTGAAATAAAAACAATTGATTTCTGCCTTATTATGGGAAATAAACGCTAAACAACTTTCATATACAACCAGAAAAAATAGAATTTGTTTAAAGAGGATTTTTAAAAAGAAATGGCACTTTCTCAACGCTTTCTCTCCTATTCGATTATATAATGCGGGTTCGAACTCCCCAAGCGCGCGTCTTTTTTTCTATAATAATAATAGATGTGAAAAAGAAGGGAGCGAAGGATAGTGAGAGAGTCACTTAGTGCTACTTTCGAATCTTTATTCAGAAGGACGAGTTCTTTTAAAATATAAAACGCAATCTCGTAATACAAAAAAAAATTTATGGTGCCCACAAGAAACCAAAACGTCATATCTAAAGTCTAATTACGCCGCCTTGTAGGGAGAAATTGTTTTCTAAGTAGCGCTAGATTCGGTCCCAAAACGCATAATTTTGCTTCTATTTAACCGACGTATCTCAGGGTTTCCCAGATTCCTTATGATCACCCTCGAAATTTGGACACCCTGTACATCCCGGAGACTATTGCTTTCCTGGCCCAAGCAAACAAATAAACGGGTTAGTGTCTTGCACTGCACAAATAAATTGCGTAATAGCAATGCTAACGTCTGACACGGAGACTAATCGTATACTAAAACTGTAATTAATACTCAAAAAGAATCAATAATTCGGATGACTTTACACTAGCAAAAGCAAAATCTGGTCGACCACGACTGTTTTTACAATTCGGGTATAACAGCATAAAAGAAAAATACTTTACGATGCGCAAATATCTCAATTTCTATTCAATACTAATGCCGTCTAATCCATTCACAACATAAACAAGATAATATGAGCTAATTCTTCCTAAACTAAAAATTATTTATTTTCTTTATTTTATTTTATTTTGTCTTTATTTTTGAGTGGACGAGGTTTCAGCCAAGGCTGCTCTATCAAACCAACCCACTATACATTTAAAAATATCCATGCCCAAACTCGGATTCGAACCAGGGACCCTTAGCACCACAGTTCACATTTAACTGAACTGTTCCACATGGGCCGGTAAATATCAGCCTTGGACGGTAACTTCAAAATTACCAAGCAACAGTACCAATCTGTAAACACAGCTTGTCAAGGATACAATGTAATAGCAAATCACTAATCACATCGCACGACAAACGTTTCCGGGTATAACGGAGTCACCAAGACATCAAAGAG